AAGTGGACTCCTTCGTGGAAGCTGTGGCTCGGTTATCTGGAGAAGGACCAGGCCGCAAGCACTCTCCGCAGAAAAGGAACACAGGACAGCTTGTCTCAGCTGCGAGGCTTCGTGCTCAGCCTGTTCATTTGAGTTTGCATGTTTCTCTGCACTATGGATTTTGARCATTTAGATTTCTTTAATCAAATACATTTTAACCACTAAGTAGTGTTTTCTTTCTGAGGCATTGTGCTTTGCATGATAGCAGGCCAAAAGCTGAGGGAAAAGTGAAGTTAAAGTCGGTTCTCGTTCATAGCAGCCCGTATTTCTGACATTCAGCCAGCTTTTTTCCCCCAGTAATTTCTCTTTCTGTCCTGTATTCAGAAAAAGCAGCTAAAATGTTTCTCCATTAACTCCTGGGATTCACAGGACTGTCTAGGTCTCAGTCCTAGCTGTAGACCACGTAGAGGTGTAGCTACCTTAGGTAATGCAGACGGTGCTGTGGTTGCCAGGGTCCACAATCTTGCTGTGCCTTGGTTTCAGGAACTACATGAACGACAGTCTTCGCACGGATGTCTTTGTGCGGTTCCAGCCTGAGAGCATCGCCTGTGCCTGCATCTACCTCGCTGCCCGGACGCTGGAGGTCAGTGCTCTGCTGCACGGCATGGTTCTCTCCACTTGTGGTGACATTTGTTTATCTGCTGAGTTGCTCAATCTGCCAGAGCTGCTTGCTGCAGCAGGTTGTTCTTAGTTGCTTTAAGAGTTTTTTTGGCCTTGAAGTTGCTGAGAAAATGTGATCTGATGGTGTTTGTGTTCACAGATCCCTTTGCCCAATCGTCCCCACTGGTTTCTTTTGTTTGGAGCAACTGAAGAAGAAATTCAAGAAATCTGCTTAAAAATCCTGCAGCTTTACACACGGAAAAAGGTTCTTTTGGATATTTTTATGTAATGTTCATCTGTGTTTGGTTAAAAGCATCTGGTTCTGAATAAAGGGATTATGGCTTTTCAGGTCGACTTAACACTCTTGGAAAGTGAAGTGGAAAAGAGAAAGCATGCTATTGAAGAGGCAAAGGCGCAGGCCAGGGGCCTGCTGCCTGGGGGAGCCCCAGTAATGGACAGCGCTGCAGGGTTCTCACCTGCCCCCAAGCTGGGTGAGTATGTCAGGTCAGGACTATGCTGCTACAAGGGTGGAGCTGGTGACCCTCCTGGGCCTTCATCCTGAGGTATAGTCCTGCCATCCATTTTCCTGGGAATTGAGCCTGCAGTGGGTCTGGGCTACAGAAGTGCTGGAATCCCTGACCGACCACTGGTGATATCTAAAATGAGATGGGGGGACTGGGGTTGTGGCTCAATAGTAGAGTGCTTGCCTAGCACGTGTGAGGTCCTGGTTCAATCCTCAGCACCACATACAAATAAATAAATAAAAGTATTATGTCCAACTACAACAAAAAATATATATATATATTTTTTAAATAAAATTAGATGGGGACCCTCAAGGGTTTTGTGTTTATGTTTTTGTTAGCAAGCAAAATGGGCAGGCAGCCTTTCTGAAATGCTTTGGTTTACTCTACCTACCCAGTTAGCTTGTCATGTGATGAAAAATTGTGTACTCTATGACATAGATCGTGTTACTAGGCCCTAGAGATAAGAGTGGTGCTCACTGCCTCGTCAGAACCTAGACAAAGGGCCTTCTGCATCTTCCTGGTGCATGCTTAATTTCTGAGTCCAGGCTGGAAGTTAGAATCAGTGTGTGTGTCTGTCACCCCACAGAAGTGGCCTTTTCTTTCTCTGCTAATGGGTTTCTTACTGGTACAGTTCTCTGTTGGTTTTTAACTTAAAAATTGATTTGGTAGAATCCCCCAAAGAAGGTAAAGGAAGCAAGCCTTCCCCATTGTCTGTGAAGAATGCCAAGAGAAAAGTGGAGGGCAGGAAGAAAGCTGAGGCCGACAGCCCCGTGAACGGGTGAGGCACCCAGAGCTGCTCAGGTGGTCGCCAGGTGTGGGGGTGGCGACACTGTTGGTGTGTAACTGCTCCACTCCTGTCTGCAGCTTGCCAAAGGCACGAGAGAGCCAAAGCCGGAGCAGGAGCCGTGAGCAGAGTTACTCAAGGTCCCCATCACGGTCTGCTTCTCCCAAGAGGAGGTGCGTGCCTGGGGCTTGCCTGTGGGTCTGGTGATGATGGGTGTTTCCCCAGGGTGGTAGGAGGGGATGGGCTGCCCCTGAAGACAGTGGCTCTTACCCCGGGATTTCTTGTTTCTCTAAATTTGGAGGTTGTGCCTCTGTCAGCCCCTGTCAGCCCCTGTGGGTGTGTCCCGGCCTGGCTGGGACAGGCACTCACACATGTGGTCCCAGGTGTGTTGTCCTTCCTCACAGAAAAAGCGACAGTGGCTCTACGTCTGGCGGGTCCAAGTCACAGAGCCGCTCTCGGAGCCGGAGTGACTCCCCGCCAAGGCAAGCACACCGAGGTGCTCCCTACAAAGGCTCTGAGATGAGGGGCTCCCGGAAATCCAAGGATTGCAAGTACCCCACCCAGAAGCCACACAAATCCCGGAGTCGGAGCTCATCCCGATCTCGAAGCCGCTCACGGGAACGGGCAGATAATTCTGGAAAATACAAGAAGAAAAGTCATTACTACAGAGATCAGCGGCGGGAGCGTTCAAGGTCATATGAACGCACAGGCCATCGCTATGAGCGGGACCACCCGGGACACAGCAGGCATCGGAGGTGAGGTGGGTCCTGCATGGCTGTCCTGGACCCTCCCATAGGGCACATGTGGCTCAAGTGGCCCTGTGGCCATGATAGTTTTTGGAAAACTTTTTTGACTCTGGACCTTGAGATGCATTTGGAAATGGATTTGAGGGGGTGGCAAGGTGCCCTTAGGGTGGCCTGGGGCGTGGCACACACCTGTCCCAGGTGAGGTCCTCCTCAGCTGAGCCCTGTGGGCGGCTCCTTGGGAAAGCAGAGGCACACATCCTGTTGGCGTGGCTGGGTGCTATCGACAAGCTGTTCCTTCACTCCTGTACTGATGCTCAATTACGTTAAGCCAAGAAAGATGATTTTTAGAACCTTTGCCTATATTAGGTTGTACTTATGTACATATTTTGCAGTGTTTCACAATGAGAAAATGGCCTTAATAGCCCTTTATTCTCTATCCACGTTGTAAATAAACATGTGTTTAATACAAGGAAAGCTATGTATGAAAACTCAGAACTGGAATTCTGCCAGCTTAAAACTTGTGTAGAGAATTCTGATTTTTAAAATGTGAAGGTATTTAGGTCTGTGTTGAAAGTCGTATATTTTTATCTGTGCAATGCTGTGTGCTGGCCACCAGCTCCCAAATAGAGAAGTTTCCTATATATGCATTTTACGTGGTTGAATAAACAGTTCTCTTCTCAGGATGCTTGGGATGTTACAGGCTTTCTAGGTTGTTATTCTGCTTGCTTGTGAGCTGCTGTGGCACGTCTGAGCTACCATCCCTGCTCCCTGCTGTCATTAAAGTGTTGGATTTGTACTGAGCCCCCTTGCACCTCCTGAAACCATTTGCCTTTTGAAAGGCTGCTTTTGGAGGGTTGTAGGAAGGAAGAGGTAAAGACAAGAAAGTACTGAAGGGCCCTGGAGCATATCTCAGCACAGGATAACCAGAAGCAGGGCATCCAGGAGGTGTCCCCAGAGCTGGGCCTTGCCGTGTGCAGGGCCATTGCGCAGATGAGATTAGGCCTGGAGCTGTTTCCTATTCCTGAGGTGGATGGTGCCATGTATCACCTGGGCCTGTCATTTATCTGGTTTTGGGTCTTCTGTCAGTGGTTACCTTCCTAAACCAGCACCTCAATTAAGCACCAGAGAGGTTGAGATTCCATGGATAAGGACAGCCCCACAGGTATCTGAGAGGAAGGATGTGTGGAGTTCCTGCCAGCCTAGGCCTCTGGGATTGCCTGGCAATGGCAGATAGCACCTCTGCACCGTCTGGTGAGCATGTGGCCACTGTGGTGCCTGAGCTGTGTCCATGCCAGCATATCATGAACCTGATACTCAAGCCTCATTCTGACCCTCCAGGGAGCATGTTGAGTGTTGCAGCTGTAAGAGATGGCCACAGCTTCAAACTCCTTCCTCAGCTGCTGCCCAAGGCCCCCTTCTGGGCTCAGCAGCAAGGGCACAAGACATCATCCATTGGGACTTTCAGCAGCCCCAGTGCTGAGAGGAAGTGCTGGGGCTTGGAGTAAGCTTGGGGTGTATTTTGCAAGCCTTACAACATGCTGGGATTGTGGAGATTCCCTGCCCCTCCCCAGGGCACACTGGCACCTGTTCATGGCCCTGGACCTTAGCAAGGCCAACACAGTGCTCCATCTTGTAGCCAGCCAGGGATGTGTGAGCTCTGGCTACCTAAGATGGTTCATCCTGGTGGCCCTGCCTGGTGAGACTGTGGGGCCAATTTTTCCCTCATCCTGTGAGGAGTCCATGCAGCATGGGATAAAGAGACCACTGCTTCTGCTTTGCTTCTGTTGATACCTGCCACTGAGCAACTGTGCTATACTGATACCGGTACAGAGTTATACTGAGGGATGCTGGTAAAGATCAACAGGTGACTCCCATGGCTGATTTTTAAATTGCCAACACAGTTTTATTCAATGAAGTAACTACTCTACAGTGTTTCCATCACTTTATAATACTCAAATGATCTTATGGTTATAGATAAAAGTATACAACTATGCCAGGTGTGGTGGCTTATGCCTGTATTTTCAGTGGCTTGGGAGGCTGAGACAGGAGGATTGCAAGTTCAAAGCCAGCCTCAGCAAAAGTGAGGTGCTAAGCAACTCAGTGAAACCTTCTCTAAATAAAATATAAAATAATACTGGGGATGTGGCTCAGTGGTTGAGTGCCCCTGAGTTCAAACTCTGTTACCAAAAAAAAAAAAAGTACACAACTAGGAAGCAATATGCCCTGTATTTCCCTTCTGTTACAGTTTGTTGGATAATGCTATGTTAAAAGCAGGGTATAAAAGTGAAAATGAACAGCTAGCTGTCGTGGTGGGATCTGGCATGAGCTGACTGCAGCCCTCCACTGCAGGGCTGTGGCGAGGCAGCAGGCACTTTGCCTGATTTAGGTTTCTGTAGCCCAGGACTTTAGGGCTACTCAGCTCAGGTTACAGCATAAGCCCCAGCCTGGCCTACCCTCAGCCACTGGCATTGATGCCTTTCCAGCCTCCAGGCCAGAACTGCAAAATTTCTACAAAAGTTCTGAAGAAAACCTTTTCCTGAAGGCAAATGGGTATTTTGGGGAAAAGAAATGCATGCAGTAATTGAGACTAAAGAGTTCCATTGATGAAAAAAAAAAAAAAAAAAAAAAACACAAAACTAGAAGTTGGACCTGATGGCACGTGCCTGTAATCTCAGCTATAATGTAGGAATTGAGACAAGAGGATTGCAAGTTTGAAGGAAGCCTGGGCAACATAGTGAAACCTGACATGACACCACAATGAAAATTGTGTTGGCAACTTAATGTAGACTGTAGAGACACCTGGCAATATAGCTCAGTGGTAGAATGCTTGCCTAGCCTGTGTGAGGCCCTGGGTTAGTCCCCAATGCCACACAATAAAAATTAGAAAACAGCACATACACACCAATCCTCTCATTTCCAATCTTTATGAAAAATTGATCTCCCTAGTCAGGTTCTAGCATCTCTAGCTTGGCAGGGCTGTTCACATCCCTACAAGTGTTCTGCCACTGTTGTGGGAAGCAGCCAGTCAGATCTGGCAAGGGCATTTTGTGGGGTGGGGTGGTGGAGGCATTAGCATCACCATCACCTGTGACTGAGGATGTCCCAGCCCTGTATGTGCTGCATGGCCAAGGTGACCAAGCAGCTAGCTTCTCTGCTGCAGATGAACCCCTTCCCTTTTGGCCTGGGGTCTGCTATGGTACAGGAACCCTCACAAGCTTGGCTGAAAGCTAGAGCCTGGCTGGTTCCTGAGATGGGGAAAGTGGGTGCTCTGGCCTCATCCAGCCTCCTCAAGMCTCTCAGACTGGAGCTCTTGCACTCTCTCCCATTAGTCCCTGCCTCTCCGGAGGTACTCTCATCTACAGCCCAACTCCTCAGAAGTTTGGAGGCCAAGGTTGCCAACCCCCCCCCCCCGATTCTTTTTGCCCTTGCCTGGACTGTTATTAACATTGATGACCTGATTTTCTGCATCTTCCTGGAGCCTGGTTAGGTGAAAGAAGTCCACACCAAGGTGAGGACTGGAGTTGAGGGCACCAACCTGCCCTTTGTGACAAGACCAGTTACTAGGATATGCTGTGTGACTGAGGTGAGAGGTGGGTTCCCAAACGTGGTCAAAATCTTCCTGCTTGGGAGTCCTGGGCACCTCCTCTAGGAGGCAGGAACCTGTGTTGCTCAGTTACAGAGCTGGWCCTGGCGCCTGCAGTTTCTGTCCTCACTGGCCTATCTCCCCTGCCACTCGCTCCTTAGCCAGGATGGTGCCTGGGGAAGACCTGCTTGGCCTCTTCCTGCTAAGAATCCCTAGACGTCCCTGCTGCAAGGCCAGCCTCAGCACCAGCCGCCTGCAGGTTCACTGCGGGGTCCATGCTAGCCAGCAGGCCTTTGTTGAGGTAGATGAAGTGGCGGCCCGGCAGCCCGTGCGCTGGAGCAACGTTAAGGTGTCAGCCAAAACCAATCCTGCAGAACTTGCTTTTGGCTTATGGTCTGATTTTTCCTTCGGAGCTTCCTTGCATTAGATGCACAAAGGAAAAGCAGTCTGTCAAGCCCTAGGGGCAGCGGGAGCTGCCAGTTAAGAAAGGGCCCCGGTTCCCAGTGTCCGGGCGGCGGCAGCTTCGACCGAGTTACCGCCGGTTCCACTAGTCCCGTCCCGCCCACAGCTGGTCCCCAACTCCGGAGGGAGCTCCGCCGGAACAAAAGCAGCCCTAGCCACTTCCGTCGCCCAGAGTGTGGCATTTCCGTCGCCGCAGCCTTGCGCCCGCCGGAGGAAACCGGAGCCAGGCCGGGTCCGAAGGCGCCTTGAGGCGGCGCATGCTCTGTAGATACCCCGGCGTAGGGAGTGTAGTTTCCTTCCGCTRGGTCGAGGCGGAACTGACGTCTGCCCCAGGGCGGCCCTTCGAGCCGGAAGTCTTCGCCTACTGAGCCTGTGCCGCCGCGAACTCCGGCGCCGGGAGGTCGCCAGGGGCAACTGGGCATTAGACCCACCCGGGAGCCGGTTTGGCAACGGACCGGAAGTGCCGAGCGCGGCGGTGAAATACTCTGGAAGCCGCCGGGGTCACAACCTCTGAGGTCGCGAGGCTCTGGCGGGGCCGTGCTCCCAGGCCTGGGCCCTTCAGTTCGTTCGGACGTTGATCGCCCCGTGCTGTTGGCTTGGGTGCCCGCGGGAACTGAGGTTCGGGGAGGGAGGGCGGCTAGCCGGAGTGGCGGAGGCGGGATTCGATCTGGATTCTGGACGTCCGAGGGGCCAGCGGCTTGTGAAGGCGACTTCTCGTTGCGGGCCAGAGGGACCCAGAGTGCGGGGAAGCGGGGTTTGCGCGTCCTGCCCCGTCGCGGCTCGCGCTTGACCCCAGCAGCCGCCTGTGTTCCAGCTCCCCTGAGCACCTGGGGCCGCCGCCTCCCACAGACCATGTTCCTGCAGCGCCTGACTTTTCAGCTGGTCAGGTCTCTTCCCTGGGCAGGTAAGAGCCCTGAGGGTTGGGATACGTGCCTGGGTTAGGAACGTGTTTGTCACAGCGGCCCAGCTCACCCTCAGCTGGAGGTAGGGATGTGGCCCYAGGCTTCCTGTGAGAACATCACTGGGGTTTGGAACAGGAATAAGGTGCAGGTCATCCATTCTGGGCCTGGGGTGGACTTGCTGCCCAGGCCTGGGTGGTTGCAGTGCTCCTGTCTAGTGTCACCTCACCAATGGTAACTATGCTACATTGTTTCTTGCAGGTTGCAGTCGGCCGTGGCCTGTCTCTGGGGTGCTGGGCAGCCATGCCTGCCGGCCACCGTACACCTTGCAGCCTACTGGCCAAAGTAGGGCTGTATCTCTTCCTGGCAAGGGGTCCCAGTTGGAGCTTGAGGAACTGCTGGTCCCCAGGAAGATGGCCATCAGCCCTCTGGAGAGCTGGATGACTGCCCGCTACCTCTTGCCCAGACTGGATACTGGGGTTCTAGTATCCGCTGCTCCCACTCAGCACTACCAGTGTCCACCCAGTCAGGTGAAGGGGGAGGCTAGGCAGGAGCATGAGGGTATCTGGGATGCCCCTCACATGCAGTGCAAAAATGTGCTGAAGATCCGCCGGCGAAAGATGAACCACCACAAGTACCGCAAGCTGGTCAAGAGGACACGGTTCCTGCGGCGGAAGGTTCGGGAAGGACGCCTAAAACGGAAGCAGGTGTGTCAGGGCACCTTCTTGGGCTTAGGGGGA